ACCTATTAGAGGAGTCTCATTCTATCACCTGCTCTACTCTGTCATTTGTTGCAAGCAGTCTGGGGAAAGTGTGGCCTTGGTATAAACAGTGGATCAAAAGGTGGGCCCGTCAGTCAGTTGTCCTTCCCCAGTAGGTTCCCTTTTCATTCTTTATCTCAATTGTTTTCATAACTCCATGAGAGTGTGTGTGTGTTACTTTACAAAATTAAGGTAGATATACAAGTGTTTCTACAAGGACATGTCACACAGGTAACATTGTATGTGTGTAATTTATTACATATATATATATGTAAGAATTTGATGCACTAAATATTTACATACAAAATCTTAATAGATTAGGTCACATCAAATCATATATATTGGGGTAAAAGTCTCCCATGTACACACCACAGAGAAATGTAGATTCAATTCTTGATATGGCCACTTGCCAACTTTATATAGAATTTATATGAGGAACAATAGAGATAAGTATGAATGTTTTATAAATTACCAGACACTAATCACGTGTTAATTACTATTATGACATATTTATCATTATGTCAGACCAACCTATTTCAGGTGTCTCTGTCTAGCATGCCCTAAATGTGTTTAGATGTAACAAATTAAAAAAACAAAATAACTAAGGCGAATATATATGATAAAAGCTTGGTACAACCATTAAAATAAATATAAGTGGGTGTCACAAACCCATGTTTATATATTGCAGCATCCAGCCATCTCAAGAACTACCAGCCTTACAAACTGGACCCCAGAAGAAAATAAGCCTGGGCCTCTAGACCTAGAATAGGAACAATAGAAAGTTAATCCAAAAATAAAACAGGCGGTACAATAAGAATTCTAGTACCATCTGAAAACCCAACCTCAATGCTAAGTAATGTCTTTATTATTCTACAGGGAATTGTGGACTCTCCTTCTTCCTTCATCTTGACCTTTAGCCATTTCGTTGCTCTTTAACACTGCTAAGACTTTGCAGAAGGAATTCCAGGAAGTTTCTTAAAACAAGTTAGTACAAGTCTTTTATTCCACGATTAGAGTTAAGCTTTTAGATGCAGATGGTGTAAAAACACCTTCAAACTCCCATTAAAGGTATACAACTGATATTGGGCAGAGTGGTGTTGCCTGGGTGAGGTGTGAAGATGGTGCACATGTTGTGGGGATAGTGTGGGAGGGAAATATGTATATTTCAGAAAAGTGAGCTCCTAAAGATAAAAAAAAAGAGTGAAATCAGTAAGTGGGGACCAGATGCAGAGATATTTGTATACCTTACTCTCAATAGCCAACAGGTAAAAGCACCTCAACAGATGATGGGTAAACAAAATACGATACATACATACAATGGAATAGCATTCAGTCTTTAAAGGATGAAAATTCTGACATATGCTACTATATCAAGGAACCTTAAAGACATTATTCTAAGTGAAATAAGCCAGTCACAAAAGGACAAATACATTATGATTCCACTTACACCTAAAGTAGTTGAATTTATAGTCAGAAAGGTTGCCAGGGACTGCAAGGAGGAAGGAATTGTTTAGTTTACAGAGTTTCAGTTTTGAAAGATGAAAAGAGTTCTGTAAATGCATAGTAGTGATTGTTGCATAAGGTGAATATGGTAATTTTATGTCATTTGGATTTCATCACAATTAAAAATTAGTATTGTTTTTTTAACCTGACTGGTATTACTCAGTGGTTGAGCATCAACCTATGAACCAAGAGGTCATGGTTCAATTCCCGGTCAGAGTACATGCCCAGGTTTCAGGCTCCATCTCCAGTAAGAGGAGTGCAGGAGGCAGCCAATCAATGATTCTCTCTCATCATTGATGTTCCTCTCTCTCCCACTCACTTTCTCTCTCTGAAATCAATAAAAACATATTTTTTAAAAGAACTAGGTTTAAAAAAAAAAAAGATAAGGGAAACAACTTTACTATTTTATGACTTTGCCTATGCTTATTCCAATTTCTTCTACCAAAGGGTTAGAAGGGAACTTTTTAAATTAACTATAAACTACTATTAACTGTTCAGAACTGCAAATTGAGTAAAAAATAATAATGCTAGATCAGATGAGATTGAAAGAAAATGTCATTAAAGTTGCATTATTGTATTGTGAGTTAAATTGTGAAGAGAGTCCATGTTTTATTCTTCTACACATTCTTTTTTATATAATTTTTTTAAATTGATTTCAGAGAGGAAGGGAGATAGAAATACCAATAATACAGAATCAACAATTGGTTCCTCCTACATGCCTCCCTACTGGAGATCAAGTCCAAAACCCGGGCATGTGCTATGACTGGGAATTGAACCATGACTTCCTGATTCATGTATCAATGCTCAACCACTGATCCACACCAGCCAGACTATTTTTTACATTTTTTTTAATATATTTTTATTGATTTCAGAGAGGGGAAGGGAAAAGGAGAAACATTAATGCTGAGAGGGAATCATTGATTGGCTGCCTCCTACATGTTGGACTGAGTCTGCAACCCAGGTATGGGCTCTACACCAGAATTGAACCTAGGACCCTTTGGTCCACAGGTCAATGCTCTATCCACTGAGCCAAACCTGCTAGGGCTTTTTTACATTCTTAAAAATAATTAAAGTCACATCCATTTATTGCTTTAAACATAGAAAATGCTTAAATTAAGGCACAAGTTTTGATTTAATGTCAATGACAGTGTCCTTTGAAGACTGTAGTCAAATAATAACTTTTATGGAAGAAAAATGATTGATTAAAAGAAACAAAAAGCCAAGCACAAAAGTCTCATTGTGTGGCTGATAGTAGAACTGGTAGGTTTGAAATTCAGAGAACTCACCATTACAATAGAATTGATGCATGGTATGATAATAAAATTACCAAGTAAAGTATTAACCCTCATAAATGTTCAGGAGGTATAAAGTTCTAGACACTGGTAATATGAGGAAAACCACTACTACCCATAGCCAACTGGCATTCACCTAATGAGATTAAAATGATATAGAGGACAGAAAAAAGCATCCTGAAATGTTCACTGAGCACAAGAAGGACAAAACTGACGAATGTAAGCATTCAAGAGGCTACAATAGAGGACAGAAAAATCCATGTTTGGATTAAGAAGGCCTTCCTTGAGGTTTGTTTCTTTACATGGATTTATTATTTTCCTCCCTTACCTTGCAGTAGTTAGATTTCAATGCTGTTTACATTTAACACATGACAAAAATGTAAATTCCTGAGAGAAAGATAAAAATAACTGTATAAAACAAAGATGGGGGGGAGGGGCAGAGTGAGGGTCTGTCTCTGACCCCAGGGCATTCATGCCTGGATATAACTTTTCCACTTAGTGATAATCAACAGTTATTGGGATCTTTGCCTGCTTTCATTTTCTTTTCCTCTGGCAAACTTCCATTTGCTCTGGCTCTTGCAATAGTAGTAAAAAATAAGTAAATTTGACTCAACAAAACCAAGTATTTTAGAAATACAAACTGAAAATCAACCTAAGGTTTGGCCTGTTTTTGAAACCAATGCTAATTTTAAGCAACAATGCAGATAACCCCGGGAGATTTACATGAGCTCATCAGTAGCAAAATCATTTCTAAATAAGTTTAAATGTTTTCCAGAGCAAGAAAGAAACTCTTTAAACTCCTGACTTTCTTGGCACATTTCACACACCCACCTAATGTTTTTGTTATCCAAACCAGAGCAGAGCTGAAAGTAAACTCACTCCAAGGCAAAATTAAAAGGTGAGATATTTGGCTCTTGATTTTGTGTTGAAATGACTATAACATCTTAGAACTTAACTTGGGGTCCACAGATGAGGTCTTCAGAGATACATTTAATAACTCTCATAAATATCTTACTTTATCAATCATATAGAACAGTCAACATTTTTTTTTTTAGCAAAACAAGAAAGTAATAATGAACATAAAAAACAGAGGGGGCAGGAAACAGAAGGGAAAGGTTTAAGAAACAATAAGCCACCCCCATGCTGTGATAAACAACTGATGCCTTCAAGCAACTGGCTGCTGAAGCAATTTGAATAATAAGGGCTTTTAACTAGGCAAAGAGCTACATTGAAAACCTTCCATACTGGTGGAAAATGTGAGACACATGGACCAGCTGAGAGTCCTGGACCTCCTTTTAAATGCCTGCTGTCACCAGTCCTTAGGAAACAAAAGTAACACAAGAGAGCTTAAGAGACAGTTCAACCATGTACCATCATGATTTAAACGGACTGCACCTTACAAGGGAACCTGCTCTGGGCTCCTAGCAACCAAAAATCATAAAATGAAGGTTCAATAGAAAAAGGCAGCTTGAGGCCCTACATACACATCCCTATCAGGGAAGGACACTGGACCCAGAGGGTTAAAAGATCCATTCTAAGAACCTATCTCATCATATGAACAAGATATTAGCTTAACAATAACCCACAACCTTCGGACCAACTTGAACAAGATATTAAACTTCATTTCTCTTCAATTTAATTCAACTTTATCTACTCACACAAAATTATGATTCTATAAACATGCAAATCTTCTCTATGATCTCCATAAAACTATTTTTGCCTCAGTCTTGAATAGCCATATTTACATGCCTTCCAAAATGCAAAATCTAAGGTATTATAAAGGTACTCCTGTGGCCGCCAGCAAACAGTATGAGCACTTGAAAATACAAAGAGTCATAGAAAAATAAAGATCACATTTCATGAACACTAGCTTTTTCACCTAGACAGAGACAACTATTTACTTCAGCAAACATTGCGTCTTTTATAAGGCAGTGTCAATTTTATTGCTTTTGAAATAGTGTGTAAAGTGTAAAACTTTACAATTTGCACATAAGCAATTTCCAACTTTAAGTTTAAATATGTGGTGAGAAGTACATGCATATGAATATAAATCTTTTAATCACCATCATTTACATTAGAAATTTCTTTATACAAACAACTTTTTTTTTTCCTTTAAAAATAAAAATTAGCAACTGGTAAAAACCCTCTGAGACTGCAGAAAATCCAGCTTTCCATTTCAGCAGGCTTTCACTGAGAGATGTGAGTGATGGCAGATGAAGGCCTCTTGAGAATAGACTCAACAGAAAATGACAGCGGTTCATTCACCGAGAGTTTTGTTCCAACTTGTTTGGCTACGAAAAGGTCTTTTGCGCATCTATCTATTGTAAATGTGTACTTCTGGTTCTCCTTGACTAAACACTCCCTGTGTTTCTTAGGGGCCTCTTCAAAGGCCTCTTTGACAAATGGTGTTTTCAACTCAGGACCTGATTTGTCATTAAGAGTTTGCTGGAATAGTGAGTGGAATGGATTATGTTTAAGTGGCAGAGGGTGCCTGGTGCTTTCTTTGCTGATCTTGGTTAAGATGTGCCCTTGAGCTGCCAGGGAGTCCGTGTCAACAACTGGAGAGAAATTCCGTCGGGGTGGGGAGAATGCAGACCTCTCGGGGACAGCCTGGTGACCCTGAAGGTCACTTCTTGAGGTCTGGACCTCGGGAGTGTGAGGCAGCACCAGAGAGCCCTCCAATTTGGATGGCATCACGTCGTGTTCGGCACTGAGTCCATCCTGGACTGGTACTCCTTTCAAGTCCCAGCTGGCCCCAGATTTCAGGGCTTGAACCGAGGTGGTGGTGTTTAGCAGGCATTGCTGGTAGAGGAGAGTGTCACTAATGGGGCCACACTTGGGCCAAACTAAAAATCTTGAGGACAAAGGATACTGTCTGTAAGTCGTGGCCACACTGACATTTGAAGAAATTAGCTCCATATTCCCAGACCCTGAATACTGCATGGTTAGATCAAGACAGGTGGGCAAAAAATTACAGAAGTCTTTGCTTGGTGGTTCCACTGGGGTGGGGCTGTAGGCACTTTTGTAGTTGTATTCAGGTCCATGCACCATGCGGTTCGGCAGGAACAAGGCAGCAGCTTGGGAAGCTTCCAGCATCTCCCTCTCTTTATATTCTCTCTCCAGCATAATGTTCTCCAACTCTTTATCAGCAAAGGCCCGCCTTTTCCTCATCCGGTCACTTACTGGGGGAGGTAGAGGTAAGCTCCCTCCCACATAAGTCTCTGCTGGAATGGGGCGGTAGCCTAGAATAAGCAAGCATTGCACATGAAAGAGATTAACATCTAGGAAAGAAAAATCTGGAAACCCAAAGGCAACAGAAACACTGCAAATTGGCAGAACAAATGTTTACAGTTCTGTATCACTAACATTTTTATTCAGAAAGCAAAAGTATTGGTTCAATTTAAAATTGTTCCCTTTGGGGGAAAGATATATGTGTTGTAACTTTTGTTATTGTTTCTGTAGTTCTAAGTGTGTTTGTTTATTTTGACAAGTGTACTTTACTGGCTGAAATTTCAATATTCTTTCCCAGCTCCTACACATTAAGAAATAAGGCTGCTGATCTTACTTCAATCGATTATTTATTATTATTCATATCATCTCATTCCATTATTAAAAAGATATCTATACCTAGAGCTGATGTCACTTAGTTCTAAAGATGGCTCATTATGTACATTGTAACAGTTGGAGTATAATCCAAGGAGAACTAGGAAAAAAGAGAAAGTTAAAGCAGATTAGTGAGGAGAAAAACAGAAAAGACATAGGAAACAGGGAAAAACAGAAAACTAAAAAGAGCTGTTAACTAGTCAGATTCTTCAGTGAACTTTGAACCAGGCCACTACCCCTGACTACTATACTAGTACAAACAAGCAAACAAAAGTGGGGGCCAGGCATTGAGATACCCTACTATATTGAAAATAACTAATACTTATTTTTCCCAAGCACTAATCATGTTGGCCAGATACCCACACGGTAGAACATGCAATCATTAGAACATAGATTAAGTCATTGCACACCTTATGAAGTCAAAACCAAAAATCAGTATAACAACATAAATAAAATTCTTGGTAGCATGAAATGCTTTCATCATCCCCAAGCACTCACCACTATCAAATCTGTTTGAAGGATCCATTGTAATGTTTTTGTTTACATAGTGACAAACCCATAGTACTCATTTGCAAATAAAATAAATGTGAAAATCAATGTTTCCTTTTCTATAGTGGGTTTTTTTTTGCCAGGAAGTTATTTACTTAAATTTACTATTCCATTTCATCCTCCCACTTCTCAAATTGCATTGGCACAATTTCAGTTTATTAGTGTGATCCCTATGGTTATAAAATTTGTTTAGCCAGTTTGTAATCAAATTAACTTTTAATGCATCAGAAACTATTCTAAGATCAGAAGTACATAGCACAGGGTAAGACATAAACAAAATTTCAAGCCTGTCCAGAACAAACTCAATTCAGAAGGCACATAAGAAAAAACAAAATTCAAATGTCTTCTTAAAAAAATCTGCTATCAACCTGATTCTTTCGATGTGACAATTAGAGCAAATATAAACTTTTCTTTTCCTTAAATGGTGAAAGATAGTTGGTATATTATTTACCAGATCAATAAATAAATTCCAGACCCAAACAGAGATGCTTTGAAAAATCAGTAATATTTTAAGAAAAATTAATATATCCCCAGGCTTTAGAGAAAGTGAAAACATGGAGTTAGAAACTTCACACTGTTTAAATTTAATCTCAACTTCGCTCGTTTGATTCTACAATCTCAATTATCAAAATGATAAATAAAATGGGGAATAACCACAAGTTACAGATAATCCAGGAGGGAAATGGTAAAATGAAAAGAGTGCAATCAGGTTGGATCACCCAGACTAGAAGTCTTTGTTAGTGTGGGTGCTGTTAAACTCCTTATTTAACGTACTCTGTTCAGCTCCAACATCGAAGTAATTGCTTTAAACTTATTTCCTTTCAGGACATCTGCCCTGAATCACTTGGAAGTGTGTATCTTTGTACACCGCTCACACTAGGGCAAATTTCACATGCACTCGATCTTAACCCAACGAAATTATCAATGACAAAAACAACAGGAGGTGTGTGAGATTCATTTTCTCACATCCTGATTTCTTCCTTCCAAACAAAACCTTCTAATAAAAGGTATATTCTCCTCAGCTTACTCCTTCCGAAGTTAATAAAAATGCCATACAGCCAGAATGATGAGAATCACTCAGAACCTGCTTTCAAAGACTAAAAGGATGACTTTGCATTGCTTTACCTTCTAAAATACTTTTGGCCAGCAGACTGGGTGCCCTCACTTGCCTCTGATACACGGCTTTGCGCTCGAAATTATTCTGTTTCCCAGAAAGCCCCTTCTTGTCCTGTAAATACAAGAAACATAATCATTAGTGCCCTGAAGAGAAAAGATAGGGGAAAGGTATTCCCAACTTATGAACACGCCTTAATCCCAGGGCAACCAGCTAGCTCTGTCCGAAGCCACGCACTGGGAACGCGGGTCCCAGCTTCCTCTGGGGCTGCTTTGCTGGAATCATCCTGGACACACAGAAATGGGGGGACATCCTGGAGGAAGGAAGTCCAGTGGAGCAGATGGTGGGAGCCCAGCCTGAAACCGAACCGGGTCCTCTGCGGCCAGAGGTGGGGGTAAAGTTGCCCAAGACCTGCCACTGGGCAGTGACTGAAGCTGGTTTCTCCTCAGCAGGACATGAGGGTCCCTATGTCTTAGACTTCCTGGTCTGGCCGAAAACTCCAGAAAGCTCACTGGGCGTCTGGGACTCACCAAGGCAAACAAAACCCTCCGAACCCGAGCGGGGCGCAGCACAAGCCCTAGCTGCCGGCCGTCCCACCTGGTGGGTCGGCTTCAGTGCCCTGCTAGGCCTCCGCCCAGCCCAGGAGGCCAGGCCGTGGGGAGCGAAGACAGGTGGGGCCCCAGTGAAACACACCAGGAGTGGGATGAGGCCGGGTCCGAACCCAGGGCAGGGCCACAACAGGGGCGCCCAGCGCGCTCTCTCCGCGGCCCTTGGGATCCTGCTTTCCATGAGGGTCACTATTTCCCCTGTGTACTGTAATCCACTCCCTAGCCAATCCTCGACAATAAATAAAATTTTATTTTAAAAAAAATCTCTCCCTAGCCGTTTTGCTCAATGGACAGAGCATGGGCTTGCGGACTGATGGGTCCAGGGTTCAATTCCCATCAAGGGCACTTTCCTCACCTGGGCTGTGGTCAGGGGGGCCGTGCAGGAAACAACCAATCCATGTTGTCTCTTCTCTCACATCCGTGTTTCTCTCTGTCTCTCCCTCTCCCTTCCACTCTCTAAAATTCAATAGAAAAATCTCCTCGGGTGAGGGTTAAAAAAACACAACCTTCCCCCGCCATGAGTGTAGGAGGGGACGCGCAGGTGCCGGAGCACGTGGGCACATCCTTGATGCAAACTCCGTGCTCCTCGCTACGGGGGCCCACGGAGGGAGGCGCAGGGACCCCTCCACCCACCGGTGCCTAGGTAGTTCTCGCGGGACTAGAAACTTCTGGCGGCGTGGTCTTAAGAGTTGCCGACACCCAGCTTCCCACGCAACTTCCCATCTCGTCTGTAAAACGGGCGCCACGCTCAGCTCAGCCTTCCAGACAGGGCCGGGATAGGCGGAAGCACCGGGCCCTGCCGGCTGCTTCTCGGCCATAGGCGATGGGAGGCCTGTCCTTGCACCAACCCCTCTCCTTCTCCTCCTTATCCCAGGCCAAATAAACGCTTAAAAATAAAACGCCTTCTTCCCGCAATGTCCCAAGCGGGCCTGAGCACTCTCAGGAGCCCCCGACAGCGACAGCGTTTTTATTTCGTTTTGTTCATCCTCACCTGAGGATAGTTTTTCCCACTTTAGAGAGTGAAAGGGGAAGGAGGGTTAAGAAGGGAAGGGAAGAGAGAAAGGAGGGCGAGACCCTTGGTTGCCTCCCGCAGGCGCGCCCCGACCCGGACCGGGCTCGAGCCTGCCACGCAGGGACCCACCCCGGGACCCCGGAATCAAACCCGCGAACCTCCGGAGCGCGGGCCGACGCTCTGACCATCGCGCACACCGGCCCGGGCCTGACTGCGTTTTACACGCAAAATCTTTTCTACAAAGTTCCCGGGCCACGCCCAGGGCATCCTCCCTCCCGACCCCGCCGCCCGTCACCGGCAGAGAGAAGTGTCCTCCCACCTTCCGAGGGCCCGCAGGTCGCGGGCCGGGTGAGCGGGGCAGCCTGCCCGCTGCGGCCGGCCCCTCCCCGCGCGCGCCCCGGTACGCACCTCGGTGGCCTGCTGCCTCCGGAGCGCCACCTGGGCGGCCATGACGCGCTGCCGCTCCACCACCAGCAGGCAGTTGGCGCACTGGCAGTCCCGCCAGCGGCAGAAGCGCTTGTGGCCCTTGAGGCAGGACACCACGCCGTGGTTGCGGCAGCGCGCGCACTTGGGCGTGCGGCTCAGCTTGCGCGGCTCCGCGCCGCCGCCCGCGCCCGCGCCCGCGCCGCGCTCCGGGGGCCCCGCGGGGGCCGGCGAGGCCTGCGGCGCCGGCGATGGCCTCGGCGGGAGGCCTCCCGGCTGCTGCTGCTGCTGCTGTTGCTGCTGCTCCGGCCGCCCGGGCGCCCGTGGGGACGCGCCCGCCTCCTCGCCGTCGCCCTCGTCCTCCACGTCGTCGTCCTCGTCCTCCACGTCCTCGTCCTCATCGTCCTCGCCGTCCCCGTCGGCCGGCGGCGGGCTGGGCCCCGGCGGCATCGGCGGCGGCGGCGGAGCCCCAAGGCCGTCCTCTTCCAGCTCCAGGCTCTCCACGTCGATCTCCCAGTCCCCGGCCGCCGGGCCCGCCTGCCGGTCGGCCATCGCGCGTGGACCGCGCTCAGTCGCCTGCACCCTGTGAGACACGAGAGACCCCGAGACCCACAGGCCGCGATGAGGCACCATCCCCGGGCTATGGGCCTAGGACCCAGACCCCCTGCAGCCCCTCAAGGAGCCCTGCTTCCTCCCCCCACCCCCCTCCTGACAGCCAGGCCACACGTGCCTGCCTGGTATCTTTTGGGCCCCCGGGACCCCCCTTCCTTCAGCCTAACAAGTTTTTATGCATTAATGCTAAGTGCTCCGTGAACACCGGACCTTTCACCGCAGCCTCTCTAGCTATACACGCTTTACAAATCACCTTGTGTCCAGCGAGGCCGGCTTAGACCCCCTTCTCATACTTTTCCCCTTGGCCCAACTCCTATGGCCATGATGAGTATACAAATGTCAATGAAAGAATTTATTTTCCTTTTGATCACAGGGGGCCCTTCAGAGAGGTACCGCCCTATGGTCCAAAATGCCTCTCATCCCCCTCCATCACCACAAAGACTCCCTTCTTGGGCTTGGGCTTCTCCTCTCCCATGGCCACCCCGGCTAAAAAGTGACGGACAAGCCAAAGTGTTGGGGGTTGTCATTACAAGCCCCCTAGGGCACAGGGCCGCTGGGCCAGGAGGTGCAGATGCCCTTCCTGCATCAGCAGTGCTTGGGCCTTGCTGGGCCGAGCCATGGAGGCTCTATGCATTTAGGGCATGTTTTGCACTATTATGGCAAGGCTTTCAAGTACATTAGAAAAGATAATGAAGAGGTGGTTAGCACCCGTTACCCTCCCGGACACCCCAGCAACATCACAGCACCACTCACCAAGACTCTGAGGCCCGGGCTAGCAGCCCAGGCAAAAGAGATCCAACCTTGGGACCTGGCTCTTGAACTGCTGGCTGTGCTTGCAAACAGAAAGAAATCGGGGTCGTCACACCCTGCCACGAAACCGGGGGGGGCTGACAGCTGGAGGCCCGGAGCCCACCGGATGGGGAGTGGGGTAGCAAGGGGATGGAGAAGGTGAGTCAAGTCCTTACGGCCTCGCCCCACACATCCCGGTCTCTGCAAAGATCAGACCGGTCCTCTCTCGGCGGTCTGGGGCGCTAAACCTCGACAAAGCTACTTTCGGCTTCCGCGGCCCTAAGCTGGACGGGGAGGGTTCAGGCCGCCCAGGCCTGGCTCTGACCCCGGACTCGCGGGTGGGCGCATGCAGCGACCAGAGGCGCGGCGCTCCCCGTGGCAGTCTCCAGCCTCCGCTGCCTTTCCCAGTATTATCCGTTCCGGCCCCCGAACTTCGCGCCCGCTGATTGGCCAGTTGTCAGGCGGTGTGCACGCTGATTGGCTCAGGCGCGCCGCCCAGAGCTCCCCCCGCCTGCCTCGCAGCCGCCGCGCTCCGCCCCGCCCGGCCCCCGCCAAGAGACTCCCGCCGCGGCCTTCGGTGCAGCCGGGTTGCAGGTACTGACGCTAAACCTGAAGCGAAACAGCGCCTTAGGAGTGAAATCGCTATTTATCTCCCCGACTAGAACACACACACACTATTACGAAGAGCGTTGTCCACAAGAGGAGGTAATAGACTTGGCTGGCATCAAAAGGTTACTGTTGATCTCTGCGTTGTCAGCATCACCAACCAGTGTTTCTGCGACTCAGTCATTAACTCAGATTGGTGCAAAATGACACCTCTCTAATCAGGTGCACAGCGCCATCCTACTTCCTTTTGCAAGACTAAATAAATACCTTGCACCGCAGCGGCGGGTCCGCGGACAAACGACCTGTATTTAAATGTGTGTGGCTCGCACCTCTCATCGAAATGCAAAGTTAACCGTGCCCGTGAGACAGGCAGGTCGCCAAATCACCTATGTCACAACGTTTTCCGGCTAAGTCAAATACTATTACAGTGGATTTGAAGGAGAACGGACTTGTCTTTTAAGAGATTTCCATAACACATATTATCTCTAACATGTTTTTAAACGAAGCTTTTTTTTAATAAAAAATTAATTTTAGTGTGCATGAATTTATAAAGAAAAAACCTGTCTCCCTCAAAAAGAAATCATATATAAATATTTCATAACAGTAACATTTACATGTGGAAAGGAATTAGTCTCCTAATTAAATGCTGCATTCTATATCTTGAAGTACACTTAAAATCACTTGGACGCTTTTCCAGTTAACACTTTTACATAATACCTCTCGGAATCAGTTTAGGAGAGAGGTTAGGAAATCGAGTGCCATTGTACTGAGCACATAGTAGGCTGGCAACGATTATTTGGGAGTTAAAGGCAGGAAATGGCTGGACTGGATCGAACGTTGCTTTCCTGGGAGCCGCGTAGGAAGTGAAAAGTTAACAAAGCTCCGAGAATTTGGAAGGAAGGCAGTCCGGGAGGGAAACGCTGTGAAACTGATGCAATCCGCTGGATGCGCAGGTATCCTCCAACCTTTGGCGAGTTTGGAAAATTCTCCCCCGGCGGCGACCAGGTGTGATTTCTCCGCAGAGTCGCTTGCGGCGGCGCCCAGTGAAGGAAGCAGAGACACAGTCCGGTTCAGTCCTGCGGGCAGCTCCGCCGCGCCGGGCGGCTGGGAGGGTGACTTGGGAGCCGTGCAGGCTCAGACGTGGGACAGAGTCCACCGTGCGTGCCTCTCGCTCAGTCACACCAAAGGATTTTTACCTTTGGCTTAGCCTCCTGTACTTTACCAATGTTCGTTTGGATTCTTGACTGCGGAAGAATTGTTATTTTCCCCCCTAGATTTTCCAATGACGAAGCTGAGGTTTAAAGAGGAGCCCTGGTCACGCGGTGGTCTTCGGGAGGGCAATGGGCTGGTGAGCACTTTGGCACTAGGTCGACCTCTGCTCTTAGGAAGTTCCTGGAGCCCCTCGCTTCCAGCCAGAAAGACTCTCAACGGGTTCAGCGCCCCTGCTAATTTTAGTACCTGGCAGTAGGAGCAGCCCTCCTGTAACAGGACAGGGCACGTTTTTATCAACTCTTATGGTGTGTGTGTGTGTGTGTGTGTGTGTGTGTGTGCCTGCTAGTTACATTTCTGCCTTTGAAACCAAGCTCCACCGAGTGTATGCAATCTACAACACCCCCCTGGGCAGCTTCCTCCTCCCCGCAGGCTATGTGTACTCCAGTTGGCCAGCTGGGCTTTTATTAATTGCTTGGAGGGTGGGGGGGCAGCAGGAGATGATTAGCCTTTCACCAGTTATTATGAAGATTAAGGAACAAAATGAAGAAAATAGATTTGTTAATTTGGGGTAACTAGATTGGGGAGAAGGGGGGACCGGGAGCGAACAGGAGGAGACATGGGCTTGAGCAGCTGATTACTAAAATAAAGCAGCCCTCGAACTAGTTCCGGATTGTAAGAGCTGCTCTGCAAAGAGGAAGCAAGTGAGATTTGTGTACAGTAAACTGTAAAGGCTGAAGCCGTGCAGTTTCTGGCCTGGAGAGGGGGGAGCGGCTCCCCTCCTTCCACTTCCACCCACCCCCCCTCCTTACTCCCCCCGCCCCCCATCATGAATGGATTGGGCCCAGGACCATTTCCTCCAGGCACCCCCTCGCAAAAATCCTATGCAACAGTCCCACCGCTTCCTCCAGAATTCCCTGCCCATCTCCCACTGCCCTCTTCTCCCCACTAGTCTTACCCTCCCGGCACCCCATCTTGTGCACTTGGGGGCATACACCTGTCATCGCGATCCAGTGGAATTACAGTCCATTCCTTGGCCCTGACCTCCCCTAGAGAATCACGACCCCACCCACTGCTGAGACGTTTAGTCGGGCGGGAGGGGAGGGTCGGAGATAAGACATGAAATGCGAAATTAAAGACATTTTTGGGGGGAAATTAAAAAGGAATCTAAAGATGCACAAACTGGTTAGCAGAGTAAATATGAATCAGCGAGCCTGGGCTCAAGGCTGGTGGTTCCACTGATTGCATGACCCTGGTCGATTCGTTTTCTGGGCCTCAGTCGCTCGGGTGCAAAACGGGGAGAGGGGCCCTCCTTGGCTTGCAGGTCCTAAGGACAGTAATAATGAGGATAGGGAGTCTCCACGCAGTAGGAGCTCAATTAACATTTATTTATCACAGAGGCGGCTAATAAGTAAATAACATTTATTTATCCCAGAACCCGCAGTTCTGGGCGCCCCCCCCCCGCCCCCCGCCTCCGCGTGCCCTGCGGGCTGAACCGAAAGGCGAGTTCAGGGAACCCTGCTCCTTTCTCCAGGTTCCTCTCGTAGAAGAGGTCCTGCCGAGGCTGGAGACCTGTGAGGTGAGGAAACGAACGTGCTTTGGGCTTGCAAACCGACATCAAAGTACAAAATGCCATTCGGAGCCCCCTCCCGTAGATCACAAAGCGGTGGGGCCGCTGTTAGCGCGGCCGCTGCCCGCAGGCTCGGGCGGGGTGGCGCGGGGGGTTGCTTTTCTCCCAGCTGGCCGGCGCCGAGGCCCCCCTCTCCCTCTCCCTGCCTTTCCCCCACATCTCCCTCACCCGCACCCCTTCCGGCCCCCGGTGCGAAAGTCTTGGCAGGTCCAGCGAGGGAACCTGAAAAATAAAGCTGGAAAGGCCAAGTTTTCCTCCTCCTCTTTCTTGATGTGGAGGGCTTTATTTTCTTACCACAAGTACCACTACAAAAAAATAAAAAGTATGTGTGTTTCAATTGGCTCCTGCTGACCCATCCACTCCCTGCTGTGAGTCCCAGCGGGCAGGCCCCTGCCACTGGGTTCTGCGTGACCACGCGGCTGGGGTCCGGATCCAGGTCCTGGCCACCTCTGCAGTCTGGCCCAGCCACCTGTCATGCGGTTCATCGAACCCTTGGCCACAGGAGTTGAGCGGCCCTGGGTGGTTCTCAGGGCAGGGGATGAGGGGGAGAGGGTGTCTTGGCTCCGCACTGGCAATCCGGCTTGGAGGCCGAGAGCCCGGGACAGACAAGGGTTAAAATGCCGGATTTGGTGCCTCTCAGCTGGGGTGCAGCGAAGAGGATCTTGACCCTCCCTTTTGCGCTTCACTTTCCTCAGTGGAACTAACC